TTTCTCCGTGTGTGTGTGTGTGTGTCTGTGTTTGTGCGTGTCAGTGTGTCTCTGTTTCTGTGTGTATGTGAGAGGCGGGCAAGTTGATTGCCCATGCGTTCTGATTGGCACTCGTGAAACTCGTGACGAGCACACTGCCAGCACGCGTGCACCAACCGAACCATTCACCGATGGCACCGAACCGACCACTGATCGACTCACAATGGCCGGACAGCGGCACACCCGAAATGCAGCTCTTCATATTGATCAAGTTTGTGATGCGAGCAGGAATTGAATGCCCGCGACTTGAAGCAGCTTCGTTTGTGCTTCGAAAAAGTTCCGTACCATGCGCACATAGCCCTGCTTGCAAACAGCAATGTCTTGAGGCGACTTGTGCTGCTTCGGAGTTTAAGTTGAGCTGAGAGCCGAAGGATGCCTCGCCTCCAACGTTCGAAGCTGGTGGCCGGGCCATGCTCACTGGCTTTACTGTGTCTTGGTGAAGTCTGCGCCACAAAGACTTTAACAGTCGTCCACACTCCAGACAAGGTCCGGAACACAAGGCTTAGTTGTAGCATTGCAGCGCTGCTCAGAGTGACAAGCGGAAGCAATGCCGCAAGAGTTCCGGTGCACGGCACAAGCGTAACTAGTACTTTGCTTACAGCCTGCTGGCTAAGGAGCGCACCTCTCTGAATGGCGAGCCAGTGGAGCTGAAGCCCATCTCAGTTCAGGTTCGGGATCCTTAAAGCATAGGCTGCCTGCCTCCCTAAACACAGGAAAATGCCAAACATCCGCCCTCGCGAGTTTCGATCAGTTTTGATCAACGTTCAGTGGATTCCTGGCTCGAGGGTCCGGCTTGTCTGAGCCTGCAAGATCGAAGGCTGCTGGTCGAAGTAGATAGGTGTGTGTCCGATGGTGTTTCTCGAAAAGGCCGTGGGTGCATTGTAGGACCCAACTTCCTCATCAAAGAGTATACGATCTCGATCTTGTCTGGTATGGACTGGATGCTAAGGATCCGATGGGACGAGGACCAGCAGGGTTGGCTGCCCAACTGCAATAAGGATTTTTTTTTGCATCGTCGAGCTGCTTTTTGTGCCACGGCGCTGTCTCGAACTCTAAGGGTCGTGCGGCGCCAGACGGAGCAGAGCATTACCAGCTTAGTGCTTCTTGGAATTCAAGTATGACCAGCACTGTGACGCTAGCCCTTTAAGTCCTGTGCATGGAAACATTTAATTTGCCTCTGGGCTGTTTGTCTAGTTGGACTGCACTGACCCTCGTGTCGCGGGCGTGGCGGCCGAGCAAGGTCCTTGAAGAATTTGATGCCTTACCCAGAGAAGGAGGAGCCGGCGAAGCCAAAGGAAAGAGAGTTTAGCCCCATCAGCTTCCTGGCCACCATCATCGGCGCGCTGATCCTTTTGGGCACGGCCGTCTCTGTGCTCGTGCCACTGGTCTCCGGCCTATACAAGGACATGACGGGTGAGTATTTGGTGAGATTAGACGTGCCTTCGCTGTACTGATAAACTGACCGCTGCAGTCCGCAAAAACGGCCGTACAGTGCAGACAAAGCATACGCATATTTAGGTGATGGAGGTACCGGGTTCGACGGAGTGCCAAACGGCTGGTAGCACTAGCTGTCACTAAAGTCAATTCGCGTTCTTTCCAAAGTCCCATGCTGCATCCGCCTGGCAGCCCTAATTCATTGCGAAATTTCGTGCTTTGGTGCTCCCGAACTTATGGCTACAGCGCTAAAGCCCCAGTAGGGCCACAATCGCACACTCCTACAGGGACTTCTCGATGCGGTCTCGAAATCCCGACCCTGGAAAGGGTGTCGGCATTTTGGAAATTGAAGTCGTGCTCCGGCCACAGTCCCACGCGTCGTCTTTCGCATTTCCGCCTCGCGAAAAATCGTGCTCCCGCCTCAGGCGCATGCTTGTTTCCCTTTCAACATTCCGTCTTGGAACAATTTTCACAGCTAGTCTTGACAGGGTTTATTTGCTCGGCGATTGCTTCCGCAGTTAGTCATCAGGCTATCAAGGTCTGGAACAACAGGGCATGCACGTGAAGCCTCCAAGCGTGGACTTGATTTGCTGTGGCGTGTGATAGCCAACGCGGGGAGGACACTGTTGCTACATTGCTCTGCTTGACCCCGCCCGGCCTGTGAGAGGCACCCGGCTCAAGTGCCCGTCTTCCCATAGTGGCACCCACTGAGCCGAATTAGGGCAAGAGCCCCTACGACATCTCTTGTGGAAGGCCGGGAGTTGAGGCTTTAGGAAGGGCTCAGAGGACTTGAGCTGCAGGCTCGAAGTGGGCTCCGACGCGTCTGAGACGAAATGGAGAAGCTGTCAGACGCGGAGCAGCAGAGACTGCGACCAATTGTGCCGGCTCTCCGGGGACTTAGTGCATTGCAGAGAGGCCACACCTCTTCTCCCAGCTCCTCGGCAGCAAGCGAAAGAGGATCTGAATTGTTGGGGCCGGATCTGGTAGTCAAGAACTCTTAGCTTCTTTCGAGGTTGCCAAAGATGGCGGGAGGTCATCCGAAATCTCCCTGCTCTGCACCGAGGTGGCCGAGGGCTTGCCACGGCACCTTCGCGGCTGCGCCGAGCGGCGAGCTTGCCCTTCCTGCCGTCAATCCAGCTTCGTGGTGAGGATTTAGATTCGTTAGATCATTTTAGCTCTGTTCGATTGTGTGCTGGGTGCTTGACGACCTTTTGAACCAAGCCCAAGAACTTGAAAGCGTGTTCTAGTTTGTGCTGATGTTTGAAACTTGCATTGAGGAAGACCCATCCTTCCTGAAGACGGCTCAAAGCTCTCAGGTCTGTGCGTCGGTCGATGGCTGGTCTCCTTTCATCCCGACGCGCCTCGCGATCGGGCGAGGGTGCGGACATACGGGAGGCGACTCATGCATTACAATCGTCACAAGTTTGCGTTTGTAACCATGCCTTCAAGTTGGATTTTGGTGGCTGTGACCGTTTTCTCGGCTCATCAGATTTGGCTGCATCCGAAGAGATGAGTGTGCTTCTTTCTTGGATGGAAAGGCCCGTGGGTCGGGTGGCGAGCTGCCGGAATTAGGGCGCCACGTAGTCCGGCAGACTGGAGGACAGGTCGTGGCTCGGGGTATTTGTGGGTTTGAAGACTTCCTGCGATTGTGGTTGCTCCATTTGTTGCAGTCCGAAGGATCTATCAAAGCTCCGCGCCGCTTGGCTCCGCTGTGCATTACATATTGTTTGCCAAGCGACGAGTGATTCAGAAATTCGTCCTGGTCTGTGCATGCCCGGAGCGACACGCATCAAGTAACATAGGAAGGACCGTCCATTGGGTATGGCAGGAATCGCAAGCAGAGGACAAGACATTCACCATGGCCATGGTGTCATAATTCCAGGCCACCATCATGGAAGCATACAAAGCACACGCATGGAGCTGAAGAGCTGTTCATTGCGGATACATGCTTATGACCTTCAGGTGTAGCTCTCGTGTATCCATGTTTCGCAATGCGACTGCAATGTTACTACGACTGTCAAGACATGGCCCAGGCCTGGAGGATGCAGCTGCGGAGGAGGCTAGGCTAGACAAGCTTCGAAGGGCCTGAGTAATTGGGAACCGCCCGTTTGCTCTAGTTTGAGACCAGTCGGTCAGGGCATGACGTGCCCCCGACGCGGTGAGCAGCTTAAAGTTGTGTAGGCTCCGGGCTCTCGGGGCCCTGAGGCCTTGGAGCCTGAATCACTCAGAAGCACTTTCAGGGATCCCATCCGTTATTCGCTCGTGCGGAAGCCATTTTGGCCCTGTTTCTGAGAATATGTGTGTGCAGCCACCGGGTGCAGTCCAACCCTCCAACCCCACAGTCCCAGCCACTCAGCAAAACCAGGTCCATGCCCATTCCAATGGCTTAACCGTTAAGGCTTAACCCAACCTGCAAAACCCTCCATTGAAGGACACAAGCAGCCGAGCTTCAATCAGCACAGACTCAGTGGCATATAGAGTCAACGAACGGATTGTGTTCACATGGCGACGGCACAAGCGGTCGCAGAGGATGCGCAGGCCCAAATTCTGAAGCACTTCATGCATTGGGATGCCGAGACTTGGCCAGTGAATTAGGCGGCGCGCTAAACGGGTCCAGAAGATTGTGACATGTTCAGCTACCCCGAGGTGTGATGCAGGATGCTCAACACGAGTCGAAATATTTTTGCACATGCTAAACGTCGCGATAACAGTCTGGGTGTTGCCTCAGGACGGTAGTGGCACAATCGACAAGGACGAGCTGGCAACCATAATGTATCTTGGAAAGCACTTCCACCCGATAGTGCTGAGGTCGACGATGCGGTCTGTCAAACCTGCATCCATTTTTGTCACTGAACGTTGCATTCCCAAATGCCGAGGTACAAAGTGTCATCTTCGATGTCCCAGCGAGACATTACTCGCTTGCTTGCAGTCATCGATACAAACCAGGATGGCCTCATAGACTTTCGAGACTTGGCCAACGCAGGCACCGTCTTTCCATGCAAGCCGATCTTTGCCCCTTTAAGTTGCTCGCATCTAGTACTTGTGTCAAGACCATGCAGGTGCCTTTTTGCCTTCTAGGAAGTGTGTGTTCAGGAGAGTTTGTGGCATGGATTACAGATCGCCGAGCCGATCGAACAGTTGGGAATGATGGGTGGATAGAGCACTTCGATGTGGAGATGCTCTTGAGGCCTATGTTTGAGGTTTTCGACCGCAACAAGGATGGGCTCATACTGCGAGCAGAGCTCGAAGAGTGCTCTCAAATCTTGGGAAATTCACTGAGCATTCATCCGTCCGCTTCGCCGGATTGCCTAGCAATGGATTGGAAGCAGCTGCCTAGCAACGAGACAGTGAACTTCCAGCAGTTTGTGGATTGGCAAGTCAGCTCGCTAGAGAAATGCGGCATTCCGAACAATCAGCTCCCAAGATTGCTGCTTGGCCTGCTGTGTGGTGTTGTTTTCTGTACCTCGCTGCTGGTCCTTTTCAAAACCAAGCAAGTGATCTCATGACTTGCTGAAGTTGCTTGAGTGTCCATTTGGACTTACAGGGCTCGTCTCACTACAGATCTCTTGTATGGCTTCCCACGTTAATGGTGCTTCGGCCCACGAGAAGCCCACAAGCTGGTTGTTCCAGCCTTTGCGCCGACAGGAAAGTGTTGCATGCTCTAGAGCTTCCCAAGGCTGGAGGAGCTCTGTGAGTCCCTGCAGATCATCTTCGACATCGACCGCTTGCACGACCAGGGCGTCGATAATTCCAGGGTTCACGATGCCCTGGCAGAGTCGGTCTGAACCTCGCTGGGTCAATGCCAGTGCTCAGACTCCACCGCTCTGCTTGCACTCCAGGTGAGGAAGGTGGCAGATACCACTCGCCGAATCTACACCCGGAAATTGTCGCGACTCAGCTCCAATCACTCGAGGGTGCAGTGGCTGTGGTGGTTGTGAAATGGCACTGGAAGACAAAGGCGGACTGCTTTCTGAAGAAGGAAATAAGCAGTTGAGCATGCATGTGTAGGCAGTCAGGCAGTTTCTCTGCACATCGGCCGACCTTTGTAACAGATGCTGCAAGTGATTTCATCCGCAAAGCGTACCCCGTCACCAGCCAGCTTGACCTACTTCTCTGGGGAGGTCTTCGAAGTTGCCTGCATCCTTGTCGCTCAGGAACATCGACAACCAGGATGAGGCTGCAACCAGCTTAGCCTAGTATCTGCAGGAATCACTGTGGACTGAAAAATCCAGGCTGCCCGTCTGTCCAGCAGACCCATCTATTTAGCCGGACATCGCAAACATCATCGCCAACGTGTCCTGCCAGCCTGCAGAAACACCTCAAACATCGGCAGGTCATGCCTGAAGAACGGGCAGTGTGGGTTTGCCCACCTGATGTCAATGACATGCACCTGCTTGCACGGCTCTGCGCCAAGCGGAATGGTGTCAGGCGCGTCCTATGAGAAGGGTGGTGTTGCATCGGGAAAGGATCTGCTAATTAACGGACGCTATATGCAAGCCGAATTTGTGAGAGGCTGTTGAACTACCAGGAAGAGGGCACAATCGAGCCGGCACGGGCCTCTGCAGTGAGCAAGGGCTTGCCAAGAACATTTGCCCATCGTCGATCCCAGGCTGCGGCCGAAAGGGCAAGGCATAGACCCAGTGCGATTCCGACGGCTTCGACCTCTTCGCGGCCGGGGAGAGGGAGGACTGAGTCTGCAACCTGCGCAACTGGGTTGTTTGCACCGTCTTCGGACATAGATGTAGGCATCCTCGGCCCCTGTCGCAGGAACTCTGTTTCAAATCTTCCGCAATCCCCTGCCACCAAAAAGGTCCGCAAGCTGTCCATCCGAAGCTTCTTGGCGTTCCCAGTACATGCCCTGCTCGTATCTGAAGAAGCAAGCGTCACCCACTGTACTGGTCACTAAACGGAGGTGAAGTGCGCTTGGCGATCGGACATGTGTCAGTGTGCATCCCTGATACTCTCACGGATCTACCACCGGCAGATCGGCCCTGGATGGCGCATCTCGGCAAGTTTGGCA